GGTGTCACACCCCCGACACCCCCGGTCAGGCCATCCCTGGCTATGTGCATGCACCATTTTTTTCTGTGGTACAAATTAGAACATTTTCGACATTTTGCACTTTCGGTATATTTTTCTTCGATTTTTTGACTTTCGGTGTTTTATCTTTTCGACGTTTTTCCTTCGATATTACACACTAAGATAAAATGTGTCGCATGTGTCGCACTTTGTGACACAATGTAAGACACATTAATATGCGACACGAGGAGCTCGTTGCGACACATTTCTTCCAGCGGACGTACGACACATTCTTGTGCGACACATGCGACACATTTTTAACACGTGGTTCGAATCCATTTTTCGGCACGAGGATTATTTTTTTTTGAAAATTCGAATAGTTACTATTTTTTCAGTTAATTTCAAACAGTAGCACCTATTCTTGGAGTTTGAGACGGTAGATCTTAAGATCTAGCTGCCTCGAGACCACTTGATCTCGATCAGACTACTTCGAGGCAGTCCATTCTCGATCATCTAGCGACCTCTCGACATGTTCTCGAATAACAAATGGTCGAGAAATAATCTAGAAAAAAAAGACATACGAAAATGTATAAGTCAAGTACGTCCAATAGGCTCGGTTATATGCAGCTGCACTCGCGAAACAAATCGGTGAATGAACGATTGACATATAGGCTATGACACATCTATAATGCGACACATTTTTGTAATGGAGTCTGCGACACATTCTTGTGCGACACATATATACGACACATTTTATTTTAGTGTGTATGCCCTTCGACATTTTTTTTCGATGTTTTACCTCTTCGATGTTTTGCCTCTTCGATATTTTTCTTTTCGACGTTTTGACTTTCGATCTTTTGACATCTATTCATAAGAGGCAATCAGCGGCAGACGTGCCGGCCAATAGACACAAATTTCTTTTTACTGATTGGTCTGGATTTCTTAAAGGTTTTTGCATATTTTTTTTTACGCAAGAAAACTACTTCCAACTGATGTCGAAGAAACTTTGGATGAGAAAATATGCACTAGGTGGTAAAGTGGCAAAACACCGAAAGTTAAAATGCCGAAGAGCAAAATCTCGAAGAAAAAATGTCGAAAAAAAAATATTGAAGAGTCAAAGTGTCGAAAATCGAGAATATCGAAAAACAAAATATGGAATGTGCAAAAAAATAAAAAAATATCGAAACGAAAATGTCGAAAGCCAAAATATCGAAAATGTTAGATATTCAATAAGACTCCTAAGAATTCTCTAATACTGCATCATTTACAGATTTACACTTGTAAATCGAAAGAAAATATGGATTTTCGTATCCTTGTTGCGTATTAGAGCAATATGAATAGTGGAAAAAATTGCAGTATGTCAAGTTAAGTAGACAGAAAAATGGCATAAAGTACGAATTTACTTTTTGTCTTTCACATTCTTTGCAATAAAGAAAGACAATAAGTATTCTTGAAGTTCGATTTCTGGGTGTGGGTGTGTGTGGGTGTGGGTGTGTGTGGGTGTGGGTGTGGGTGGGTGTGGGGTGTGGGTGTGGGTGGGTGTGGGGTGTGGGTGTGGGTGGGTGTGGGGTGTGGGTGTGGATGTGTGTGTGGGGTGTGTGTGTGGATGTAGAAGACAAAGATGAATACGCACACATCCACACCCACGCCCACACTCACACCCACACCCCACACACACCCACATCCACACCCTAATTTAATTTAATAAACTTTGAATTTTCGACTGTATCTTCGCAAATGAGAGGATACCATTTAGGGCTGTTATTTATGGTAGTAGTCGTAAAAATCAGATATTTCAACGTGAAACAGGTAGAATTTCTTGAAAAAAGTATCTATGTTTATTGTTTTGAATGATTTAAAGTGTTGAAATTATCATTGCAACACCTGGTCGTCTCAATGATCTTGTTATGAGTAACGTTATTGATCTTGGATCTGTTACTTTTTTTGGTATGAATTTAAATTTTTATTGTTGATAATTGTGTACAATTATTATTGAGGTGCTTGACGAAGACGATCGAATGGTAACGACCTGTTCACGTAACAATAGCCTTTTCAGAGGACGCTTTTTTTTTACAGAAAAGCTTATCTATCACTTCAACATTTTGATCTACATAAACTGAGCTTGCAGCTTATGCATGAGACCCTTACTCTGCATCTATATCAATGTGAAGCTGGTCTTCACAGTTTTTAGTGTAGTCGAGAAACAGATATAAGAAAACGTGATTCCGTCACGACGCATTTTCTGCGCTGTAAAGTTAGATTTCAGTATTTTTCAAATTTTCTTTTTTCGTTAAATAGCTTATGATCTTAGCTACAATTTTGCTAAAGACAGGTTTCTTTATGGGACTATTGCTCAACTGAATTTTTCATCTTTTTCCAAATGGCTGAAAAGCACGTTCCATTGTGTGTGATTCCGTCACGGCATATATTTTTTCTCATAAAATATGAAGAAAAAGAGCAAACTTAATTGAAACACCTCCATTAATGTAGAGGAATTGGGTTTACGTGTTCTGTAAAAATTTCAGCCTTATGGGTTTCCATTTGACCGAAATATAGGGTGGACATTCGGGAAAAAAACGTGATTCCGTCACGCTTAGACAGGCCGGTAAGAAGAATGATGTTTTCCATCCAATCTATTGCTCTTTAATTATCTTATCGTTTTAGTTAGATACAAGGGGAAAAAGCTGATTTCATGATTCTGGTGATTCCATGGATTCTGAGCGATTCTATGGATTCTACACGATCCCAAGAGATTCCATTGATTCTACAATAATTCCAACGCTGCAGAATCAGCTTTTCCCCTCTTGATAAAACCTAAATTTTCTTAATGTTCTATTTAAATCAATAGAGATCTTTACAATAGTTATAGTACTTTTACATCAATCATTTATTTATAATCTTTTATTCTTTCGGATGTTGAACATAGGAATCTTGTGGAAAAAAATTTCGAAGTGTATCTATTGAATGATAGAATGGATCAGAAGTTCGTAGAGTTCCTACTCTAGAACAATTGTCTTTTGCTTGTTGTTGATCTTGAGCGATTATTTTTAACAATATATTATTATTAATGGCAAGTTCAATAAGAGAAGGAAGATGACTTCGACAAAGTAATTGTTCAGCATAATCCAAATGAATATCAAATAAAATCAGAGTAGTTAAATGAGTAAATTCAAGATAATTTGTTGTTGTTTCTATATTCTCTTGTTGTTCAAGTTCATTTATTATGTCAAGTGTTTTAAGATGAGGTACAGCTCGAGAGACACGTTCAAAGAAATCATTTTCGAACGGTTGGATATCATCGAAAAGTAATAACTTAGTAACCATTGAAAATGTTTTATTAGTATCAAAGAGTGGAAATCGATTTGAAATAAAGTCAAGACGAGTACCTATAAATGGAAGTGAATAGATTTGACATTGACCATGGTCATTATTAAAATAATCGATTGCACAATCAACAGATTGTTGTTGTTTGATAAAACTTTGACGAATTCTATCGATTTCTACATGAGAAGCATTTGGTAATATTGAACGAATATGAAAATGAAATTGACATAAATGAGGCATGTATGAAATAATGTCTTTATTCAAATCAAACCCATCAATAAAATGTTTGGGTGTATTTCTTTTGAATTCAATAGCTAATAATAATATTAAATATTCGACATTTGATAAACGTTGTAAAACAGGAAGAAACAATTTTTCATAATCAATTATACTGCGATAGCTTATCATTGTCAATCGTTTCAAATTAGGACATGAAATCTATATGAATTAATTAAGTGAGATTTGCAATTACTAAATATTACTTACTAATTTAATTTTAGAAAAAATACCAACATCTCGTACAGAAACAAACATCACATTTACAACGAATGAACATAATTGTGAGCCCAATTGATTAAGTAAACAAATACAATGTTCGAATTCAAACAATGTTATTCGGATATGAGTCAGATGAATTGATTCAGGAAAAAATAAATCATCATCATTAAATATATTTGTTAAAATACAATCATCATCCAATTCGAACGATACAATAGAAGGCACAGATAATGAACAAAGAAATTTCGATAGAGTACGAGCAGCATTGCTCTTATCCAGTACAGAAAATTGAGGTATATTTGAGAAGAGAGTAAAACACCGTGAAACACCGTAAAGATTATTGCCTAATAATATATACAAATATCACAATGTTTTCCCAAGTATAGTTTTTATCAGAACGGGTAAAACCATCGGTATCCAACCATTTTTTTGGGAGAAGTTTTTTGTCGACTTCTACTTGAAATACAGAAGATTCAAGTTGCTTTTTAGGAACATCTAAGGAGAAGAAGAATCATCCAGGTTATTATAATGTTTAAAGGTCATATTCTGATCAGAGATAGGAGGCCAGTGGACTAGCATATCCTCTAATGATTCCTTTTTTTCCAATGTATTATGATCGAAATATAAGATTTTAAAAGAACACAATTTTGATCATAACGTTTTTATCGCAATAAATACGTAGAAAAGTCTTATATCTCGGTCATAATATATTGAAAAAACGAATCTTCTGGAGTTTTTGCTAGTCTAGTGACCTACTACCTCTCTGACCAAAATATGAGCTTTAAATATAATAATCTGGATGATCCATTTTCTGCTTAAATGTTCCTAGAAAACGACTTGAATCTTCTATATTTCGAGTAGAATTCTTTTTTGTTTTAATTCTGAAAAATTAAGAATTTTTCTTATTTTATAAGTAGAAAATGAACTAAAGCGATAGTTAATCATAGTTTACCTAATGTATAAGGTGTGCCTATCATAGGATTTTGTCTACTAATTATTATTTTCAAATATGTCAAATTTGGAAGAGTTCTATTAGAATATATTTCAACAAAAGTAATCATATTTCGAATATGTTGAAAACTTAATGTCAATGATTGAATATTATTAATGATAGAAGGCATAACATGTGTATAAAAACGTGGAATAATAAATTTATATGGTGATTGAAAATAATCAAAAGTTAAATCAATTGAATGACACATATCAAGTGCAAGTTTTTCTAAACGACTATTACCAATAGTGATAATAGAACAAAGCAATAACACTTTAGGTTTGACTTTGTTCATAATAATTAAAATTAACTCATCAGGTAAATCGACCAGCTGAATGGAGTCTTCTGTACAGAAGAATAATAAAAATAAATGATATTATGAAAGAGCTATACATACTCATACCTGATAAAGAATTCATTGTCGATATAATGTGCCTATCTGATAATAGAATAGACTTATACTTATACTTATATAATGCTTGACGGACATTGTCTAAATGATACCCAATCATTGATAATCAATTATTTTAACAAAAGATTTCTTACGAAAAAAAGAAATATATAGGTGAATTAATCCGATGAGACTATTTACCAGATATTTTCAATGTAAATGTAATTTATTGATTTTTGATATATCTAACTGTGGGTGTGGGTAAGAGGCAATACTAGACACATACCCACACCCACCCACACCCACACACCCACACCCACACCCACACCCTAAATAGAGAATTTAAAAAAACATCTTTTTAGAAAAAATTCGACAAGTATGCCCATGAGTCGTTAACAAAATAGATTTGCATCACCGGCGTTCGACCAAAGAGCTCAAGCTCTAGGTGCAACAGATAATGTGAGTATGACTTATTTTCGGAATTTGAAGAAAAAAAAATGATTTGTATTTGTTTGACAGTTGAATGAAGACATTCGACGTGCTCTAACAGTTGCAATTGGCGATAGTTTTCCCTTGATTTCAATTCTGAATAAAGGAGATTGGTTCAGCATACATCAAGAATCAGGACAAACAGTAAAACGGTTTGAGCAATTACGAAAAACTCGAGGAAGTCCAAGGTTAGTGCGTTTATTTGATGATTAAAAATAAAATTTATTTTATTTTCAATATAGATGCAATATAATTATCATTCAATCATTTGGAAATTTCACTAGTCCACGGTAAATGTTCTTCTTTCGAATGATGAAGATATTCAGTGACTTTCTAGATCACCCAACGTGATTATTATTAATGAGTTTTCGTATATTTTCTTTCCTGGACGTCAAACTGAAATTCTTCCATCAGTTGATTTTGATTCGAAAATAAAAAAACTTATTAATCAATATACTAATCAATCACAATATTTCGTACCAAGTATAGAAGCACATTTAAAAAAAACTACAACGAAAACGACGTAATCGTTAAGAATTATTTTCTATTGGTGTAACAATGACTGATATTTATCCCGATCAAAAATGAAATTTTATTTATGGTTCAACATCGATTGGTGAAGGAATCGGTATTTGTGCTTTTGCTCGATTTGATCCATTATTTTCTCATACATCAATTGAAACATTAGAAAAACCTTCTACTCAACAAGAAAGTTTATTAATACTTAAACGAGCTATTAGTACTTATTTACATGACATAATACATTTATTTGGATTAGAACATTATATTTATTATTTATGTTTGATGAATGGAGCAAATTGTGAAGATGAAATGAATGGACAATTAATATACCTTTGTCCAATATGTCTGCAATAAACCTATTTATCATTCGGAAAAGAAAATTATAATGTTATACAGATATATCGAGGTTTATTAGAATTATCGAAAAGGATTGGGTTTCAAGAGGAAGCTAATTGGTATCAAAGTCGATTGAACATATTGAATATCAACTAATAAAATTGATCAACTTTCTCTGAGATTATTTCAAAATCTTCGTTTTTTTTAGACAAAATAAAATCGTGTACCGCAGATTTCACAATGTCTTTAATATGAAGGAAACAGTTTTATGCATTCTATTTCAATGTTAGATCAAAATTCTTTTGAGGGACATCAAATCGCTTCTGGAACTCATTCATGATGGAAGAAATTAAAAAATCCTTCGGTCCTTTCTATTTTGATAAGCACAAACCAAAAAGGATTAAACAGATGTCAATCATTTTTCTTTTTCACTGTAACAGGATTTTCTAGTCAACATGAATTTTTCTCAGTGCAAGTATGCTAAAATCAAAGAAAAATCTTTCATCTATTTCTTCTTTTACAACTAGAAGTTAGAAAGACTGAAATAGATACGAATGATACGGTGATGTTGTGGATTATCTTTATTCGTAAATGAACATGTGAAAAATGATCGAAATACGTAGAAGAACAGTAAATGACATAGAAATATTGCTTCTTTAAAGTACAATAAGAATAAATTTATACTAATTTATTATTGAAAATATCAAAATCTAAAGAATTTTCCAATGACATAGCGCCTTCAGATTCCTGCCGTTTGTAAAGATTGAATCTAATGAATATTAAAGTAATGTTATACAATAATAAACATAGTTTAAGAAATTCACTAGCTTATTTAGCACGCCGTTGCTTTAACTTGAATTCTTCAAACTATTTGCATCACGTCAAGGAAAGTAACATCCGAGACATTTTCTACGAGGATTAGTACCCGTGCCTTCGCTCATTAATGTGCTTTTTCTCTTTCGTTTTTACAAATTTAATTATAATAATAGAGAAACAGATACTTGTACAACAGATGCGTAATTTAATTATTGTGAAACACTTTTTAACTCCAACACTCTTTTGTATGATTAAACGACATTATCCCTAGGATACTTTCTAATGAATGATAATTTATATAGGTAGAAAAACCCAGTGTCTTCGCTTCTCTATAAAAGCACATATCATTTTTTAATTTTATCTGTCAGTTAACTAGAGTTCTACGTTCAACAAAAGATCTTCAAACAATGGCAACAACAAATCTGCCATACATTCAACAACAAATGATTCGATATGGTATGAGCATTTATTTCGGACTAGGTCTTGCAGGCAATATTTGCAATTGTATTATGTTTACACGACCATCATATCGTCGAACACCTAGTTCTATCTATCATCTTTCTGATTCAATTCTTGCTCTTTTTCATTTAATTTGGTCGATTAGTCCACAACTTTATACACTTAATTATCCTGATCTTCAAAAACAATCGATACTCTACTGTAAAATGAGACTTTATGGCAGTCATGTTCTTGCTTTATGCGTCCGTTATATTATTCTGTGTGCTTGTCTAGATCGATTCTTTGCAACACGAGATGATGTTCGTCTTCGATCTTTAAGCTCATTTAAAATGGCCACAATACTTGTTTTCGGTACATGCATAGTATGTACATTAATTGGCATACATATACCTATTTTAATGGAAATAAGAGGTACTACTTGTGGAATGTTTGGTATATACAAATTAATATATGCATTGTATCAAATCCTATCAGTTTCTATTCTACCACCAGCACTGATGATCGTCTTTAGTGCTCTGACTCTTTGTAGTCTTCATCAACGGCATGCAACTCAAGAGCGTGCTAAAAGAAGAGATCGTTATCTATTGCGTATGATCATTGCTGAAGTTTCGGTGACTATATTTACATCAATTCCTCATTCGACTAACCTCATCTATGGAGCAGCAACATATTATGATGTTAATAAAAGTGCTCAACGAGTTGAACTTGAATCATTTCTGACCTTTCTTACTCAATTTTTGATCTATCTGCTTAGTGTGATTCCTTTTTATTTATTCATTTGCGTATCAGAACCTTTTCGAAATGAATTCATCAATCTCATGGTCAAGTGTTTGAATAATTGTATGCCAAGACAAAATCAAATCATGCCGATGAACACACACACCAATACAGCAACTGTTAATGGCTCAATAACTTTAGTACAACCAACAAAAAGACAATTTAACTAATAGTTGAACTAATTTTCATAGTTTTATGTAAATCGCTTTCAAATATAAAAGTTTGAATCACACTTCATACCGGAGACATTGTATGGTATAGAGATCTCTACGCGAGAAACGATTTTTGGGCGTGGATGCAGTTGGTAACTGGAAAAGACCAACATTCATATCCACATCCACACCTACATCCCAAATTCGGTCGAACCTCTAGGTTCTTTCTGAAGTACACATCGAAGCTGAAGCCAATTATTCAATCACAACTGAAACTGGGAGTGAACTATCGATTTAGACTAATTGTCCATCTGAGACGCAAACTAAGAGCAATAAATCGACTAAAACTGGAACCTGCATAGCTTCTGCGACTTTTAATCAAAATCCAGACGCTACACCGACATCGTCAGGATAGTCGTCTCGAGACAAGTTCGAGATGAGCACTGTAGTCAGGTCCGAAGCTGTCACTGTAATTGAGAAGGTGATTAAACCTAGAATGTAGTCGGAAGCTAAGACCAGTGATTCTATCACAGCTGAAACGAAGATGAGTATCGGTCCGTGAAAAGCTCCGAAATGGACGCAGAGCCGAGAGTAAAATCTGAGTAGGTCACAGAATCGACTCTGAAAGCTGGACAAGAAGTGAGACTTGACAGAGTTCGCGTTACACGCAGTCAGAGCGATAGACCTTGGGATCAGGTCGGAAGTCGATAATGTACCAGATTATGCGACATGGACTGTGAGTCACGTCTGAAGTTGAGTGCCTACTGAGGTTGGTAGCAGGATGATGGCTTGAAGTGCTACATAAATGAGAACTATGACGGGAATAGCAATCGTAATTGAAACAAAGATATACAAGGTGACGAGGATGGAAACGTAAACGAAGATGATGGTCGATACATATATTGAAACTGAGAGCCGGATCGATGTTGCAACAGAGAACGATTGTAGAAAAGAACTAATATTGATACCGAGGCTGGAAATGCATCTGGATCTCGATCTTTAACGATATACATAGTCACGGACACAAAACGCTTCTAGAAGTAACGTCAAAAACCAATATCTTCTCGCATATGTAGAAGGGACATCTGAGGCTTGGTTCAATCAGGATTATGGTATTAAATGGTATAGTATTGCTTGTGAAATGCTAATATTTTGTTGATACTGTGCAACGATGATAAAAAACCAAGTAAAGTGGTGTTATAGTGCATAATTTTTCTGCCTTTGATTCACACTATTTTGCATCCTTTAAGCTGTTCGAACGATGAGTATCAGAACAAGCAAAATGACGATAATATTTTTATGGGAAAAAAGCATGTATCTCATTAAAATATCTTAATTAATGATAGAACAAGCAAAACACGAATAATATTTTCATGAGATAAAAATCAGATATCTCATTAATATACTTTAATGAATGATCGAACAAGCAAAACGACGATAGTACCTGTATGAAATAAACAAGGTATCTTAAGCATATTTGATGATTAGTTATTTCAAGGACACGAATGAAGACACGCAAGCTAAATTTATATTAGTGATGTACATATAAGCATCGTCTTGTTTTTATCTCTAATATAGAACAACGTCGATATATTAGTGCTATTCTGGTCGTCAGCACATAAGACTTCGTATAATACAGAGAGCAAACGTATGTATTTTGAAGTCGTATTCTATTCAGAGAGCGTTGTTTATCCTCAGTATTCAGTGAATTTTTCTATTCTTAAATAATATCACTAAGCTTATATTATTTTTTATTTCGTGCCGTAGTAACTACTTTCCTGTCGGTATAAAAGTGTTCCAAAACTCTATATGAAATGAATAGTAAATATTAACTACTGTAAAGCCATACTTGTCACAAAACGTCTGTAGCAGGAGGTGTTAATCAGCTTTGTTAGGTTCCACGTAGAAAAAAGACCGTTCAATATTATTTTCTTTTACCATTCGAAGATGTTTGACCTCGCTCAAAATTAGATATGATACTGTACAGATAAAAAGTGTTTCAGGAAATTTTCGTTGAGAGATTTCTCTTCAACTGAGTTTTGGCGAAGAATTCGCTCAGAATATTATCGTCAGAGCGAATAGTTCTAATTAGATAACATCTGTTTGTATAATATCAGCAAAATTCGCATCGATGAGTTTTAGAAAAATCGTTTTTCTCCTAAAATGACTCTGTGGTTAAGATGATCCAGAAAATTTTCAAGTCATAATGACGAAGTTGGATAGTGAAATCATTGGGTACTTGTGTTATCCAATCTCCTCATGAGGAAGATAAAAATTATAGAAGATTGTTCAGAAAAAGATAATGAGCGCACAGTTCTGAAAAAGGGTGATTTTATAGAAATACTTCTAGCTCTAAAACTTCGATGTATATTTTTCGGTCACGGCGAACAATCATAAGTGTAAAGTGGTTTAATTTTTCTGTAGTTCCATAGCACAATCATAGTGCTAAAAAATAATGGTGTCTTACTATGAATGACTCCCTAGCCTTTTGCTTGATATCTCTCTGGGTTTTTATGGTGTCAAATCATAGGAACCAATTACATAAACGCTTTCGTTGAGCTTTGAAAGTTGTACTCTATGAGTATATACTCAAACTCTTCCATTAGAAGCCCATAGAGTTAAATAAATGTTAGCTTCCATGGATTTTCGAAAATATTCCTGTTTTTCACCGTATCTTTCCAGTTTTTGGGAAATTACGGTCAATTTGTCGTAGTATTTTTATTTAGAGCAAGTTTTTGGTTTGTACTAATGCTACTAAACAATGCTATAATACAAGACTAGACGCATTCTGAAACGGTTCTACTTCGAATAGTTTAAGTGTAAATAGCGAGGGAAAGCATGCAAGATAATGACTCGTTTTCCTGAAAAATAAGTTTTCTACGTTGAAATTTTTACATGTTGCTTCAGTATCAGCCCAAAATACAAGTTAGTGTCAATGAAAACAGCTCGAAAGTGATTGTTGATAGATTTTTGTAGTATTGCTATGGTGACTTTTTTCTTTTATATCTGCATTGACCATTTCTGTAGGACGTAGTACAGAATACAATGTTGAAAATTTTTGGAGAAAATCAGTTTCGACATAATAAAAACTGACAGAGATATGTGTAGGCAACGTGTGTGATTAATAACGGATTCCAGCATAAGGAAATATATAAATGGACAGAATGAAGAACAAGAGGTCCTGCTTGAAACTCGAACCGCACATGTTTTGTGATCCGAGCAGATGTCCTAAGCTAATTAGACTAGAAGGAGTATTTTAGTCTACGTTTAGCGTCGAAGTGTACCATCTCTGACGCCAACAATATGGGGAAAATAACAATGACTGATTTATTCTGGTTCATCTGTTAGTTCAAGAATATATGTAAAAAAACAAACAGGCCAACGAATCTTCAGAGCAAGTATTATCATTAAACTGGTCTAACTTCTGGGATTGTTTCAGGTATTGTTCGGCCATAAAGAGGAGTTACAAGAACTCGGTAATTTTATTATTGCATCACTTAAAAGCAATCTACTCACTCTAGAAAGCAATATAAGAACGTGATGAAAAGAGCATGAACCGATAGATTATCACAGAGAACACTCATTCAATGTTTCTTAAGTTCGTATTGTTCACAAAGTTTGCCTGTTATTTGCAATCACTTTTATATTCGCCAAGTCAGTTTCTACGTTAATCGAAAGTTTTCTGCCAATGGTAGAAGAAAACTTGAATATGTATATGTTGAAGCCGAATAGGATGGTAGAAGTGGTCGAGTTCTCTGTTCTCTAGGGTTCCGTTCCTTGGGAATGGAATCCACTTGAAGGTTCGTTTCCGAACATTTCTGATTATTTTGAGACATATGGACGTGCATATTCGCTCAATCTATATCAAGTCACTATGCGTTTTCGGGTTTCTGAGGACGCAACCAGGAACTGACATTCCTCGACGATGGTCAATTTCAGCAAGAAAAATAGAATTTTTTCCATTATTCAATGTTGCTGTTTAAAACCTAAGGAAAAGAGTCCTTGAAATCAAAAAGTCGGCTCCATCTATTACTATACCAATCAGAGAGGAGTACGGCATTGTTGACTTTTGAATGTACCATGTTTCATGTGATAGAACTAAAATAGTGACCTGATACAACGCTATGATCTCAAAATCCCTTTTGAAGGGTGTGGGTGAATGTGGCTGTGACTGTGGGTGTGGGTATGGGTGATGTCTCTCCATCTACACTGACACTCACACCCACACCCACACCTTTCATATGTAGAAACTCTACGACATTTTTACTTGACCAAGTTACAATTCTAGAAAAAGGTGATTGTGACACCTTGATCATGGTACGATAGATCTGAAACTATGTTACTGACTGTTTTAAAAAATATGGCTAGAAAACATGTTTAAAATCTTACATATGAAAGTATCCATGCTAGAGGATTGAAAACAGAAAAAAATAATGTGTACTAGTTTTGACAGAAATCAACAAAGACTAAATAAGCGTTAGCTGGTTAGATAAATATTCGAAGCAGTAGCGTTGATAATTGTTTTAATATGCTGCAGTATTCATGCAAGTGTTTTGATTGGCTATAAGTTTATCGCCAAAAATCTTGTCCAGTCTCCTTAGCGTATTAAATACATCTATTTAACTGTTGAAAAATCGTTAAGATTGCACAGAAAAGTTGTCCGCTTATACATAAATCGACTGAATGGATTAGGCAAAATTATTGCATTGACAGTTTTCTGTAGCAACTCTGCATGGTTAGAGATATGTCTATATTCTCGTATTATGTATGTGTTCTTCTTTAACTATTGTCTCATCGTAGATTGAAATGGTCTCTATGGATAATAACGTTAAATTGGTCAACTACTCGCTTCGTAAGAACAGTATTGTCGTCGATGCAAATGAGAAGCCAAGATCAATTTCAAATGGGCAAAATGCAAAAAACATTCAGAACAATACCATCGCTCGAATAAAAAATTACACGATTCAACAGAATATGTAAGACTTTTTCTTTTGATGTCAAATATCATCGTTGTTGCT